ACCTGTTAGATTTCCAGGAAGAACAAAAGGTCTGAGGGTTTTGTGTGTGCATCTCGTGAAAAACCCTGGGGTTGTCCTCAGGCCAGTACCGACAGTTGTGCCCACGTGCACCCATCGTGCACCCACGTGTAAACAAAAGAAATAAAATGGCGACAAGTCAACGTCAACGACCCGACAAGGAGAAAAGTGGTGTTCGAATAACAAATTATGGGTTACCAAAAATTGTTTTTGTCTCCTTTCAACGCACACTTTAGAAAGAAAAAGAGATGAACTGTAATACTGAAAGAACGTCAAGGTTTTATCTGTCACTCTTGTCAATAATTTATCGGTAAGGAAGATTCCTAGAAAATCGCTTGTAGTCAAGTTTTGAACCATTGCCAGTTCTCCCATAAGAAGTGTCATCCGTGTCATCCACCTGGTTGTGCAGATTAACTACACCGTTCAAAAAGAAGGTACACTACCTAACCCATTCAACCTTGTGGCAAGTGAAAAAATGCGTAAACATCTAGAAATAATAAGAAAAAACAGCAAATTGGTCGAAGAAATTTATCTTTATCATTTAGTCTGATAAATATTTAAATAAACTTTTCAAATTTCAATCCTTCATATTTTCTCAATGACTCGACCGATTTTCAAAAACGAAGCGGGAAAGTATAGAGAATAGAAAGTCCTTTTCATTGCGGTACCACTTGACCCCCCTTCCCATGTGAAAAAAATTGGGGGATGACACCCCCGCTTAGAGGGTTGAAGATTTTGCAATCATTTTTGGGTCAAAAATTGTCCCCCTCACAAACAAAATTCACGTGTTTTTTTCTGAAAAAAAATTACTCTGGCCGTTATGCCTTGCGGAACGTTTTCGATGGGTCATCCTGTATATTAAAAAAATATTAATAATTTTTCAGATTTTTCTTCACTTTATGAATAAATTCACATATTATATCTATAATTATAATTTTGAAATATGTTTCATACATAAGGGTGCAGGGGAAAAAGTATCAGAGACCATTTTTTCCAAATTTTGGGTAAATTTTGGCAGTACAATAATTAAATAATATATTCCAAGCACTCCAGATCAGAAGTTTTGATTTTTATTAGTTAAACGCGCCTTTACATATTTTTTTAGTGCGGCAATATGATTACTATCTTTGTTCTTATAATATCAAAATAAAACTAATTTACTTATTTAATTTTACTTAATCTTTAGCAAAGATTAAAACCTGCATTTTCCCCTAAGTAACCTAAGTATGTTTGGGGTGGTGCTACATTTTTGCTTAAAATTTAAAAAAAGTTATGGCACGAACACTTAAAGACTGTTCAATCTCTGGTTCAACTATCGTTCAACGTTACGCCATCATTACTTGTCAAATATGAGTTTTAAGGTGTGTCTGAGATCAGTACATATTGTTTAGAAAATTTTAAGTACGTTCCTATATTATTGATTGAGCGAGTCCCGTTTTTTTCGGCATTTATTCATTTTTTCTTGAACTCTTCATCAGTTACGATCCCTTTAGTTCCAATTCTTTTGACTGTTGAAATTATTCATATTTCTAAAGAATCAGCAACTCGCTATATTATTTAAAACGCTATCAATTTGTATTTTACATAGGAATATTACTCCTTTGCATTGTAAAGAAGAGTGTTCTACCAGCGTCTCTTCCTCGAGAAAAATAATTTATAAGCTTAGCAATGAGCTCTTAATCATTTTGGTTATATCTTTGAGGTATTTTTGCATAAAAAAAATTGAATTTTGTTTGACAGCAGCAACCAATTTTTAATTTTGACATTGATCGATGTTCGTCAATAAAATGACCATGTGTGAATCAAATGACCATGACAATTACTAAAAAAGATATGCAGTAATTTACACAATGCCGTAATGACGTCGCCAATCTCTTTCGTCTGGTTGTCAGGTTGTCAAGTGATTGAGAGAGTTCGACAATATATGACGTGCCATTGAACGATGACTGAACATTCTATACATCAAGTATCTACTTTAAATGGGCAACTTAATCACGTTATAATAGAAATTTTTGAGATACCCATTATTGAGGTAGTTAATAAGACTCTGCAAAGTTTATTTTTGACTATAAAACTACTTTTTGTGACTGATCTCTTTGCCCCTGTATCCTTCTTACATTTTAAAACAATTAAAAACAAATCTCACCTCACAACCTGGACAACATCCACTGAGTGCATACAAAAATATATAAATAACTGCACAAAATGCAGCCACAGGGAACGCCACTAATACTAAAATGATAGCCCAAAACAATGCACCAATACAATTCATTTTTCTGTTTTAAATTAAAATAATAATCAGGTAACTACGACCAAACCAATTCGAGTCTCGATGTTAAACTAAATGTATGTCGCTAAAACGTTTTTATTTTATTTGCTATGCATTTAGAATAACAATCTACCGGTGTGATAATATACCTACAGCGAGGTATGGAGTCATAGCTTTTCTTGTTATTTTCACCTTGTTTAATTGTAGATAAAGATACACATAGCTCGTGGATTAGGAAGTACGGTGATCCAAACATGTAGTTTGATCAAGGATTTAGTTATGATTAATACAATACCATTACCATGCGATGAAAAAAAAACGAGCGTCATGGTGGGCTTTTAAAAGGGCGGTCCATGATAATATGTGATGCCTGCTCTATGTTATTTTTTAAAAATTAAAATATAAAAACCTGTAAAAAATTAATATTTAATTGGAAAATACTAAAAAACTGTGACAAAAACTCAAGGTGAAAAAACAACTGTAATATGCATAGGTCGTTCCTGAATACATACAGTATGTTCCCGGATTGTCTTTGCAAGAGGAAAAACTTTTTTATTATTGAAATTTTAAGAAAAATGCATTGTTCATAAAAATGTTTGCTTGTCTTAAAATGGTAAATCCCGTTTATTCTTTTCAAAATTTCCATAAGGTTTTCGAGAAAATTAAGAAAAAAACATGAAAATATAGTTGAATTTTTCCAATTGAAGTCCCAAAAATTGCAAAAATCAAAACGTGTTTCTATTGTAATATTATTTCGTTTTCATTCTTTGATAGATTTGTATTTATAGAATTTTAATTAACGTCATATTTTTTGCTGTTTTAAAATATTAAAGAAGCATAAAAATTGTAAAGACAATCTGGAACACACTTATGTATTTACATTTTTCGAAAAATATAGGGTGCGGCCGTTTTTTCTATGTTAAGGTTTATCAAAACTATTTGATAATACTGACTCATCATCGGTGAATATTCATAGAAAGATAAATACGAAGAATTTTTAAAAATATCCATTCAACACTTTAAAGTATGATCTAATATATAAGCGGATAAGCCCAAATTTCCGATAAGATAATGTAAACCAGAACAATATTTATTGGGAAATAAGGTAGTTCTGGTAAAATTAAAAATTTTGGGAATGACAAGACATTCTTATAGATAATATGTACTATACAGGGTGAGAGTTTTCTACGATGTTCTCTATGGGTATCTCGGAAACTACTGGAGATAGTCGGTTAAATGGGGAAAGAAATGCAGTTTTGTGAGGTCATTAATATGCGCCTTTCAGATGTTTGAAAAAGTTCATGGCTTACTAGATATTTCGAAAAATAAATTTGGCTATTTTAAAAATTGTCCGTAATTCCATTATAATCTGTTTTATAGACAAAAAGTTTTCAGATAAAAGTTGTAGATAATCACATCCTTAATGAGATTGCGTCCTCGGTTTTTTTTTTCTAGAGCCTGCCATTTTTGACATATAACACAAACATATGTTTTTTTAAATGGAAACCATAGTTGGCCATGACATCATAAAAAGCGCCATTTTTTAAGCATTTCAGGGATATAAGCTATAATATGTTTTTTTCGAAAAATTACTGAGTTATAGCCAATTCTTATCATTTTAAAACAATTTCACTTAGTTAGCCATGGAAACAAGTTCAATCGTCGTTGCCTTCAGAAATGCAAAACTGTCACATCCAAATTTTGTAAATTAAAATAAACAAAAATCGTAAATATGATTTTTTTTCAAAATATGTTGTTCAACTGTTCTAATGTTCAACTTTTCTTGGCCATAGATTTTCGAGGAAACGTTGACCGGTGAACGTTACTTACGTTTTTTAGAGAACGGTTTTCAAGACATGTTAGAAAAGTTAAATTTAGATAGTCGCGTATCAATAGAGTGGTTCCAACATGACTTTCATTATGACACCTCATCCCCCCATAATGAAAGAAATGTTAAAAATTATTTATATCATAATTCTGCAAACTCAGGGATCGGAAGAGGTGGACCAATTGCATGGGCCTTCTCGATGAATTCAGAAAGGCACTCGAAGAGACTGTACGGGAGAACATTTTCTAAAATAAAGTGTATGGGGTAGTGATATTACCTTTTTAACATTTAGTTTGCGTAATGTAAATTGTAACGAACAGTTTAATAATAGGTATATTCTGTTTTTTATAAGATATAAATCATAACAGAATAAGAATACCATGCCAACTAAGTGAAATTAGTCAAGAAAGATGAGAATTGGCTATTACTCAGTAATTTTTCGAAAAAAAAAACATATACTTTACATCCCTGAAAAGCTTAAAAAAGCGATTTTTATGAAGTCATGGCCAACTATGGTTTCCATTAAAAAAACATATGTTTGTGTTATATGTCAAAACTGACAGGCTTTAGAAAAAATCAGAAAACACAAACTCATTAGGTATGTGATTATCTACAACTTTATTCTGAAAACTTTTTGTCTAAAATAGATTATTATGGAATTAGGGACAAGTTTTAAAATAACCAAAATTTGTTTTTTTCGAAATATCTAGTAAGCCATGAACTTTTACAAAAATCCGAAAGGCGCATATTTATGGTTCCACAAAACTGCAATTCTTTTCCCATTTAACTCCAGTAGTTTCCGAGATACCCATAGAGAACATCGTAGGAAACTCACCCTGTATAGTAATATAAATTCCTTTAATTTTGGGAAATGAAAGCCACTCTGTCATTTCGGAGATTGATTCTTTATTTTATACATCTAATATATTTCTAGTAATAAATAAATATAGTATTAAAATACTTAGGCTAAATTAAATTATTATCTAAAATTATGAACAACACAATAAATTGAAAAAGTAACTCAAGTCTGTGAGGCAGGAAAGATTACGACAGATGACATCCAAAAGATGACAGAAAACACAAATTTATCTCTAAATAAAAATGACAAACTACAACTGTTGTGTCCTCTCCGTGGACAGACTTTAGTAATAACACCTAATATATTTAACAACTTCCTGTTTGTGACATAATAACTTAAGCTTATTTTATTGATTAAGTAATAAAAAATTAAAATTAAGTAGATCTTACAATCTAAAATCGTTCTTTAAACTTTCGTTCTACAACTTAAGGTCTTAAGTTAAATTTCATCTAAACTTAAGAATAATAAAAAAATAATAGTTAAATTATATGAATAAATCACAGTATGACAACTATTTTAACTAAGAGGGTTCCAATAATCAAAATTGATTTTTTTCTAGAAATATATAAAAACAACAGTCACGCCATTATTATTATTATGATAAATATCTGAAAATGCAAAAGTACCATACGACCCTAAAAAAATGGCGTCATAGTAGTCTTTGAATCAACAAAGGCTACCCCGATGCCACTTTTTTTGCCATGTTAGTATTTTTCAAATTTGTGTTCTATGGAATATATGTATATCACTTGAAAATACTTAGGGGTTTTTAAAGACATTATACATGTCAAAATGTGTCGTAATACTAGGAGGTATATCCTCAAAATGTAACTGCCTCTCAATTTTACATCCGTATTTAGCTAGAGTTTCGCTGAATATTCTTTCTTCTTTTTTAATCCACGGGCGCCGATAGTCTTCTATTTGGTATGGAGATACGTGTACGAAGACATTAATTCCTAAAAAAATAAATATTAATGTACAGGGTATCCCAAACTCAAGGGTGACGATATAGGAATCTCGGAAACTACAAAAGATACGTAGGTGATCATGGGACACTAATGACATTTTGAATAGACATTTTTGTATGACATTTTGAAAATTAAGATGACGCTATTAAATGCCAAATTCACCATTTCGTTTCCCATAGACCAGCAACTATATTATTTTGAAAAATATAGACCTGAACCAAATATTGAACTGAACGTTTAGTTTTAGACCTGAACCTTTTACTTAATTTTTAAAAAAGCTTATGACCTATAAATACAATGATAGTCTGTCCAACCATTCAAGGAAGATTTCAAAAAATCAAAATGACACAAAATATAATTCAATTGTTGAGTTAAAACGTCATACATAACTGTCACTGTCGTCTGTCACTGTCACAGAGTATAGCACACTTGTCCAAAAAATGTACAATAAAGAAAATTCCAATAAGAAGCAATGTGTTAAAGAGAGATGGGTATACGGATCCAGGTCCGTATTTAAAAAAATAAAGTTGATGACGGTATCTCGGAAATGAAACGTCAGATTTCAAAATTAATTACACCATCTTATGAAGAGAAAAAAGTGACAAAGATAAAGTGACATTTATTTTAAAATATCTCTTCAAATAAACCTAGCAAATATTTTTTATCCATTAAAATCATACATTATTTACCTACCCATTTTTGCCAAAGTTCCCAATATTTTTCCATCAGTAACCCAGGTATTTTGTCCACCAGAATGACCTCCATCTAACCAGTACATATCCTTAATTCTGGAAATAACACCCAATTCATTTTTGTTTTTCTCCAGCTCAATCTTTGTATGAAATTCGTGTACAAACTGGTTTAGAACCACACATCCTTTACTGAACCCTATCAATTTTATTTTCGAACTTGAAATATCTTGATTGGTATAATACGAAATGTCTAGCGAGTCCTAAAACTGAGTATTTTTTGGGTATACCGGGTGTTTTTCAAAAGTGGCTCACCTTTATAACTTTTTTTTCAGATAAAAAACGAGACTTGGTATGTTAGTATATGACATGACATAAATCAGGATTGATTGACGTATTCAGTTGGTTTCGTTCACTTCCTGTTTAACCGGAAATGACAACTTTTATATATACAGAGTGGCGCCTCTCATACGCCGCGGAGGCTCCAAGGAGAACGACAGTTGACAACAAATGAAATTTTGTGAGCATATGTAGTTTAATTCAGAGCATTTTTTAAAAATATAGACAGTTCTACAGGGTGTCCCCAAAAAAAGTTACATATCAAAGTTGTGTTTTTTGTAATGGAACACCCTATATATTAATTGATTTTTGGATTCTAGGAGAAAAATAAAGGTGAGTTTTATAAGAGAAGTATATGACTAAAATGTAAGGTTTTTGACATTAACATTTTCTAGAAATAAAAAACAATTTTTAAATTACAATAAAAGCTACCTAAATTGGAATTTACCCAGTATAGCCTAATATGTAGGTAAATTAACTATTGTACTTTAAATCAAATTAAATCTTGATCCAAAAAGTTATACAGGGTGAGACAAAATTAATATTGAACATTGGTCACGTTTAAAAGCTGATACTCTTTTATTTTAAATAGAACACCCAGTATATTATTCCGATATTCAATGGAGAATTCATGTCTCTTCAAAATATTATTAAGGTTGCCTACCCCTCAAACAAAGATTTTCCTAGATATTTTCATTTACATGATTTAATCTGAGTTAGTAGATCTTTATTATTTGATAAAATCTAGGTGGCTGTGATATGTCTGGCGTTACTTCAACATATCTGTCTAATTAATCCAACTTTAACAACTAGTTATCATTTTGTGTCAGTTAAAACAAAACAAAATTCTTAGAAATTTGCCGAAAATGCAAACTTATCCTACATCAGAGAGAATTGATATGATTATATTAGTTGGTGAATGCAGTGTGCATTCACCAATTAATGGAATACTTAAATGTTCCTGATTTTATCTAGTCTGGATTTTTTATGGGGATATGTTAAAGACAGTGTTTACAAAACTCGACTAACTATTCTCGACAACATGAGAGAAATTATTATTCTTTTCGAGGTAGAACGGTAGAACTCCACATATGCCTTTTAAAATGAAAAGATCCTTTTGAAAAGACAATCATTTTATGCAGTTAACAGGAAAGGAAGCATTTTGAGCATTTGATTTCATCTAGCTAATTTTTGTCACATAATTATAGGTTTGTATCTAGATTTAATTCTGTAATAATTAAAATATGTTTTAAACGTGTATCTTTTTATTGCCGTTGAGTATTTTACTCTACAATCTTTAATTTTTGTTAAATTAACAAAAGGTATATCACAAAGCCACCTAGATTTTTTCAAATAATAAAGATCTACTGACGCAAAATCAAAAAAGTTAAAATATCTAGGAAAATCTTGGTCTGAGGGCAACCTTAATAATATTTTGTAGATATATAAATTCCCCATTGAACACCGGAAAAATATACTGGGTGTTCCATTTAAAATAAAGGAGTAACCTGCTTTTAAAAATGACTAATGTTCCATACTAATTTTGTCTCACCCTGTATAACTTTTCAGGTCAAATTTCAATTTGGTTTAACATACAATGGTTATTGTAATTAAATATCAGGCTATACAAGGTCAACTAAAATTTAGGTAGCTGTTATCGAAATTTAAAATTTACTCTTCATTTTCACAAAATGTGAAATATGTCAAAATCCTTAGATTTTAGGTATATGCTTCTTTAATAAAACTCACCTTTATTTTTTTCCTAGAATCTGATAATCAATTAATATATAGGGTGTTCCATTAGAAAAAAACACAACTTTGATGTGTAACTTTTTTTGAGGACCCCCTGTATAATTCTATATATTTTTATAAAATGCCTTCAGTTAACCTACATATGCTGCCAATAAACAACCGTTCCCCTTGGAGCTTCCGCGGCGTATGAGAGGCGCCACCCTGTATATATTTTTTACTTTATTTGACAATGGCATTCTGAATAGAATAACATATTATACATTCCAACTTTCTTTTTTTTTGTTTGAAAAAATAAAAAACTTAAAGAGGTCACTTTTGAAAAACACCCGGTATTTATTGTTTTAGTATATATTTTCTCATACTTTTTCGTCAATCGCACCACATCTATTTGGGGAGATCGTCACAGCTGTTTTCGAAATATCTAATAACTTTTTCAGTGCATTTTGATCAACACTTTTAAGCTGTATACCTAAATTCTTGATCAACTGATCTAAATGTAGTAATGAGTTAAAATCGGGAGTGTGGTTTGGAACTCCTAAATCACTACTTTCGACAAAATTCTTAAAGCAACTGAATGTCTTAAAATCCATCCTGTAAAGTGTAAAAAATATTCTGATATTATATGTTTTATGACAAATGATTATGTGAGTATGTACCTGGAAGGTTTAATGACTACAATATGACAGTTTGGGAACTTTTTTTGCATAAGGAATGCCGTATTGTCTAGGCTCCAGTCTTTGTGATTTTTATTATCTCTGTGTGACAGCATGTTCTCGGTAAAATCCTTTAATAAAAATAGTAATTAATAATTTATTAATATTATAATAGGGTGTCTTAAATACGAGCAAGCATTTTAACTAGTAGTATAGTTCAACCCCAGGAACACGCAAGAAAATTGTTAAAAGCACTTATTTAAGAAACACCCTGTACAGTATAATCGAAAAAAAACACCCAAGTGGTCTTTGAAAGGATAATCTTTGAAAGATACCGAACAGCTCTTCATTTTACTTTATACAGCAAATGCTGTAACAGATATTTTATTTAGATTAAAGCTGCAAAAATTAGTTTAAACCGAATTTTATTATAGCTAGGTACGTTGGTCACATTGCCCCGTGTTCAGGAATGTTGTCCTTTATTATTTGACAATAAATTATCCTAATGTCAGTCATTATTTTGTATAATATTGTGTTGTTGTTGAATCTTTGTGAGCAATTGTCGTTTTATTGCCTATTTTCGTAGTCTTTTTTTAAAAATTGCACTTTTAAGCACAAACAGTTTTTTAAGAACTAAATTTTCGAGTTTCTGTATTGCATTTCTTGAAATTGTGTGTTGAAAATATGCCGAAGCATTTATACAGTCTATGTCTAATAGTCTAAATATGCCGAAGTGTCTAGTCTAAATATGCCGAAGCATTTATACAGTTTATTACCCTTGACTGCAGTCAGAGAAGTAAGTTTGATTGATAAGCACATTATACCACTTTCAAAGTTAGTTTTTATTAAATTCTGTTTGTGCATTAATAGCACCCTCTTACTTGTTATTACCACTTACATCAATAAATAAATTAATAAATAACCCAAAATAATGCTTAGAACAATCTTCATAATGGACTAGTTTTTGCCAATATGTAATAAGTAAAATAAGCTATAAAACAAATAAATCAATTAATTACTAAAATATTAATTTTATTAAGTTAAAAATAAAACGTAAAACTCATTAAAAAATGATATAATAAATATATTGTTTGTCAATTTTAAATAAAGATCCATCTCATAAATCCATCACAATCTGGCAGCGCTGTCGCCATCGCTTGTCGCTCCAAGTTGATCACGTGCATCGGAAATTGTTTTGCGATTACATTACCATACTGTGACCATACTCTTTTCACCCCTTAAATTTGGTGGCGCTAGAGGTAACATTTTGATTTCTACTAGATAATATCATCTATTATCATTTGAAAGGCCCCTTTGACGCCGTTTTTTTTTCGATCGTATTGTATTTACACGTAATATATTTTCTTACTGGTGACTTCTTAGTTCCTTCTTACCTGTACATCCCCTGGAAAAAATATAGCCAAATTGTTGACACATTGTTGAACGTGTAATGGCCGACAGTAGATCACATCGTTTTTTCTGTCGTCGAAACCCGGTACTTGTAGAAATCTTATTGGATAATTCAAAACCAGACTGTTCCGGCTCATCAGATATTTTTTACAAACAGTACGCACTAAAAAAAAACAGACATTTTGTTTCAAACATAATTTTTTGTCCTATTGAAGTGAAAAAGTTACTTTTTAACATCATCCTTTTTTTTTAATTTAGTTATTAACACCCTGTATAGTCAAATAACTACAAAGGTTCAGATTATAGGCTTGGCGCATTTCAGTTCATTTTAAAAATCCCGACCGCAGCGCTCGAACGGCAGAAATAAGAAGTACCGGGTATAAAGTATTTCACGCAGTCTCCTTATCGTTTATGTCGATCAAATTGTAATAATATTAAAATCATGGCATGGTCATAATATTTAGGTATTTGATTTGTTACTAATGCATATGCAGTTATTGAAACTATAAAACAGTTTCGTGGGTGTGCAGAAGTTTGATTTTTATTTCGATTGTTTCCAAATAATTTCTGAGCTTTATTTTTTGTATGTATTGACTATTTCCCTTCTAAATATCTCGAGAACAGTTGTTCGTAGCGATTTTTACCAAGAGACATTTTTTACGTAAAAAGTCACAGAGACGTATATTTTTTCCTAGGTAGTTTTATACAGGTACGGACAAAAAGTTATTAAGCTTCGAAATAGTTAAAACACATGTAGGTGGCGCCCTCTACCAGTAGATCTAGTAATCAGAGTCTAATAACTATTTAGTCAACATGTTTAATTTATGTCAGTGATGACAGGTATTGATAATTTCGATTCCAAATATCTCGAAAACCATTCTCGTAGCAATTTTTACCAAGAGACCTTTTTTGCGTAGAAAGCGTCGTAAATGTATATTTTTTCACTCAGTAGTTTTATACAGGTACGGACGAAAAGTTATTACTATTCAAAACAGTTAAAACATATGTAGGTAGCGCCCCCTGCAAAAAGGAGTTATACCAACATCGAAATCAAATTTTTATGTCAAAAAACTCCCAGACACCAATTTTCCTCCAAATATTGACGTTACTTCAGAAATTATTTAGAAAAAATCGAAATAAACATGAAACACCCTACATCCTGTATCTCCGAAACGAAGCATTTTAGGACATACATTTATACGAACTTTTTTACTTATTTTTATCGGTAGAATATGCCGCCAAAATTTCCGGAATACAGTTCGGACCACCCTGTACATTTTTTAAAGTAATAACTGCTCCTAATATTAAACTGTATTTGTTTAAAATTATTTAAACAGGGATAATTTGATTCTAATTAATGATCACACGTTCACAGTTTATTTTTTTTTTCAGAGACGTTCAAATGTATACGTAACCTGTATGTTTTGGGAATATTATCCATATGGCCAGGTTTCCAAAAATAAACTCACTTGTTTCATTTCTATCCAGTAACCTCTAAAGATTTCGGATTCAGTCAAAATGCTACCGCACTTGCGTCAATATGTACGTTTTATTTACCTTAACAACGGAAAATAGAATTAAATAAATCTGTCGTGACTAAAATATGAATTAATTTAATTAGTAAAGTGTGATTAAGTGTCAAAATAAGTGACAGAAACAATGGACGGGCCCCACGAAAGACACGCACGCAGCGTCTCGCGATCTAGGACGCCCACTAGATTCGCATACGCTCAGCCTAGACAAAGAAGAAAGCACAGGGAAACATTGAAGGACTGTTGCAAGAAAATTGTGGCGTTTATGTGCACCCAGGTTGGCGTTGGGGCACTTCTCATTGGCTATACAGTTATAGGGGCTGTTGTGTTCACTCATCTAGAGAGAAGGTGATTGTTATTGATTAGAGATCATAGAAAATTAAGCCTATACAGGGGCACATATAAAGTCCACATCATGTGCGCTTTTATAGCTCCTAGAATAAAAAACTTCTAGAATCAATTCTCCGTCTATTGAAAAATCAATATACAGGGTGTTCCATTTAAAAAAAAACGAAGAAAAATTGTTTTATATTTTAGAAAGTTTGGCGTAGAATTTGGAACAACCTGTATGATTTAAAATTATGATATTCATAGCAAAGTAATTACAGACCATCTAAAGTAAATACCTAATATAGTTTTGATTTTAGGGCAGTTCTTGGATTTTTAATAATTTTATTAAGAAATGCTGTAAAATATGTTTTTTTTATTTATTAATATCTCTGAAACTATAGAAATATATTTACTCATATCTTAGGATTATGTAGAGTGTACAGGGTGGCTCGAATTCGACGCTCATCATTGGGGTTTCGGAAACCGTAAGAGATACAGGATCGGTTAAATGGAGGCAAAGTTGCGCAATTTGATGCTCAATAAAATCCCGTTTTGCATTTTTATTTATTTTTTTTGCATTAAATATTCTGGTGATGGAATTTTCTGTACGAAATGTCGGCAAATATCAAAGTGACTATATATAGTGTTTTAAGAGTGATGAAAGGATTTAATTAAATTGAAAAAAAATCAAGTCCGTATTTAAAAAAATTAAGTTCATGATGGTCGCCAGAAGCCGAAACGTCAGAGCCAATATTTAATCACACAGAGTTATAGAGCAGAAAAAATGGCCATGAAAATGTGTTTTTCATTTTAAGTTATCTTAACAAATAAAGCCAGGAAACAATAGAAAACAAAATTGACAATTCCGTTTATTTTTTCGAATACATTCGGAAGTATTCGGAATTTTTCAAAATGCAATACGGCATTTTATTGAGCATCATATTGCGCAACTTTGCCTTCATTTAACCGATCCTGTATCTCTTACGGTTTCCGAAAACCCAATGATGAGCGTCGAATTCGAGCCACCCTGTACTTAAACAAAATGCCCAATTTTTTTATTCTAGGAGCTACAGATGCCCGACGCACTATTGCCGGACCCTGTATAATAATCAATTGAGGCATCAAGTTGCAAAACCCGCCTTATCCATTTTTTTTTAAATGGCCAATGATATATTAATAGTGGACCCTGAAATCTGCATAAACATAATCTCAAACTGCAGTAAAAGTCGTCTATTCCATTATAAACTTCACTACAAATTACGTTACTGCAGCAAAATCCGTCTTATCCACTTATATTTGCTTTTTTATTGTCATTATTGTTACAAATCCCGCATTTTTTCATAAGCTTTTTACACAAGTACAATATTACTACTAACGTCTTTTCAAATCCTTACTTAGTTTTAATAAAATAGTATATTTTATAAATCAAGTTAGGATGCAAATACCGTATGATCGAAAAAAAAACGGTGTCCAGTTGGCTAGGAAATGACAATCAATGACATTTCCCATAAAAATTTACATATAAAATGGCAGCATTCTTCATTTCATAGCCAATATGCATTATACTGCAACAAAAACCATCTTATCCGAATTATTTTTGTGTTTTTTGTGTTTATTAATTAAATATTAATTTTTATTCGAGAAAAAACGAGATACAAAACGATGATTCCACTCGATGGACACGTTTTTTTATAAATTAACGCTTCAAATATTTGCTAAAACAGTTTTTGCTTATTATCTCGAAACGTTTGTGGGATAAGGCGGATTTTGCAACTTGACGCCTCAATTATTCCTTTAAGTAAGTTTCATTATCTTATGCCTTTATATATCTTTTTTTATATTATCTAGACTCTTATTCTGACGTAAGCAAAGTAGTCTCATGACACTTTTCTGAAATTATATACGAAATGTCACTATTTTTAATGAATACAGACATAAAAATATCAGTTCTCAGAGGGAACAACACCGAAACCATCGATGTGGAGGCTTTTCGAAATTCCACAGTGAAGAAACTGTTCTTGGTCGTGATGAAGAACAACATTTTGGACAGGAGTGGCTTCAATCAGGACATGAATAAAGTCCTGAAAGTACATCAGGACCAAGTTTCGCAGATTTTTAAACACGGTAAGCGAATCACAAAAAGCTGTCTTTAAAAACTCACTCTTACATGATATTTTATTAAAGTTGAAAAATGCTCAAAAATTGACAAAAAATCTTCATTTCAAAAGAAATCATTCTCAGCTTATTCAACCATTTCTAAATATGGTGTAGCCCCTCACTTTTTTGTCCCAAATATATTTATTATTTATTAGAATGTTTTTTCTGTCTAGTAATTCGTTGTACATTATTTAGTTTTTGTTAAATTCATTTTGAAACCTACTTTATTGCTGGCTGTATTTAGATCGTTAATTTGTGTTTGTAGTTCTTCAGGACTATTGATTATTAGGACTATGTCATCAGCGAATCTTAGATGATTAAGATATTATCCATCTATTTTTAATTTTTTGTTGGTCCAATCTAGTTGACGGAAGATTTCTTCTACTGTTGCTGTAAACAGCTTTGGGGATATTGCGTCTCCCTGTCGTACTCCTTTGCCAGTTGGGAATTCTAGGATTGTTTTATATATTATTACTCTTGCTTTGGCTTCTTTGTATATATTGGCGAGAGTTTCTATGTAAGGCCTGCTAATACATTTGGCCAATACATTGTATTGCTAGGGCTACTATTATTGTCTTAGAATATATCGAGTTGAAAGCCTTCTCAAAGTCTATAAAGGATATGGCTAGTGGAAGTTCGTATTCTTTTGTTCGGCTGATAGTTTCTCCTTATCTCAATATTTTAATCTATTCAACAAGAGGATACATGACAGTGACAGTAGTTGTCTGTCATTTTAAGTCATAGGTAAATTGTATACTGTCATTTTTTTATGTCCTGTGTCAAAATCTTCCTTAACTCGTTGGACAGACTATAAAGAATATTCTGACTTTTTTGTCTGTTTCAATGCCCAAACTATACTTATTTAGAACATTCTACAAATCAAAAAGAAAACATATCAAAAAATATGTAGAATATTTAATACATACGACGAAATATTTAGCAGATTTCATATTATTATCCAATAAATAGTGCATTTACTTTTACTTAACTTACATCAAAACACTAATAGTATATTATTATATTAATGTGTACAATTTATATACCTTATTATCTTCTGACAAGGTTAAGCTGGGTATTGAAGCTAAAATTACAAAAAATAAACACATTTTTGTTCGTTAATAAAATATAGGAATTTATTACCCAAGAGTCCAACATGAATTACAGATATAATCTCAATTATTTTTTTACATGTTAATGACTTAAAGAGTATTAACCGATATACCATAAGGTCGAAAAATATGGATCAAATTATTTAATGCATTTTATTTCATATCATATTTTTTTTTATTTGTTGTTATCTGGTTTTATTGTTATTAATTTTCAGGGTACGACGAACGCCCTGTAGAAGAAATATGGACGTTTCCAGCTGCGCTAATGTTCTGTTTGAGCATCATAACGATGGTGGGATACGGTAATATGGTGCCCAAAACCTTTGAAGGAAAGATTCTAACAATGGTGTATGCGATTTTCGGACTACCACTGTACATCCTATATTTCAGGGTAAATAATTCAAAAATATTATAATAAAACTTTAGATTATTGAGTAAAAAGACTAGAAAGGAGTCTAATACTATTTTTATGTTCATGTATTAGAGATGGTATCGACCTTAGGTATCGACATGAGATACCTAAGATAATACCTAAGGATAATACATGATACCAATTAAACTTTTAGTTACGTAATCTTTTAAATTCATGGTTGCCAAGCATGGACATATTCGGCGCTGGGCTGGCTAATTGGAATTTAAATTTCCCGCTGGAGATTCAGATGGTAGCTCTGCTGTAAAAAATGTCAAGTTGCCACATTTATTTATTTATTTCCTGGCATTGTCATTCGTTTTGACACTTTAGTTTTGTATTACGAGTTTTTGTTTTAAATGAATTGTGTGTGATATTTTAAGCTTAAACATTTTTACTAGCAGACCTTGCAGTCGAACATTGTTCTTTTTAGAACCTCTTTTAGCGCGAAGCGTACAAGATAGCTTAATAGCCGTAAAAAACTCATCGCAACTTTATTAGAATATATTGCACGAGAAATGGATAGTGATGGCCCTTTATATCCGTTTAGTGCTGTTAAGGAGGTGAGTTTCGTTGATGTAAATAATAATAATTGTTTTTTTTTATTTTTAATTAATTTATTTTTGTTTTCTAAAATATTTCGATTAAAAGAAAACAAATAAAGTAAAAGAGGGTAACGCTGTGCCGGTTAAGCATAACCACGTGACTAAAAGTTTATTTGATATGAACTATAACAGGAACGTCATACTGAGTTTTATTTGAGACTATTGCTTAAAGACGTAACTACATATATCTTTTTTTTTAAATTTAGAATATGGGCACAATTTTTGCTGGCTGTTTCAAATGGACCTATAGAAGATTATATGAATGTTCAACAGAAAAAGATGAAAATCGTAAAAAGATCATCGTCCCAAGCACGGCATGTCTTTGGGTGATTTTCGCTTATATTCTTACAGGTAAGTTCTATCAGAATGTTTAACGTAAAAAAGTAAAGTACAGGCTAAATAAAGCCCTCTTTGATGAACCTTGGAGAGGATGGCTTCAAGGTGAACTGTAGTTTGTATTGAAGTGAAATTTTGGAAGCTTATCTGGGTTAATTGAAAGCATTTTATAAAAAAAATATAGAGTTCTACAGGGTATCCCCAAAAAAAGTTATGTATCAAAGTTGTGTTTTTTGTAACGGAACACCCTAATATTATACTATTGATTTTTGGATTCCAGGAAAAAGAAAGGTGAGTTTCATACGACTAAAATTTAAGCTTTTTGACATATTTAATATTTTGTAAAAAAAAGAATAAACTTTAAATTCCAATAAAAACTACCTAAATTGTAATTTACCTTGTAGGGCCTGATATTTAGTTAAAATAACCTTCTTCTTCCATCTCCTAATGGTTCCATCTCCTAATGGAGATTGGAAATCATCATGGCAATTCTAATTTTGTTAACGGCTGCTCTGAATAACTGGTTTGAAGTCATTCCAAACCATTCTCTCAAATTCTTGAGTCATGATGTTCTTCTTCTTCCTTGGCTCCTTCTGCCCTTTATCTTTCCTTCTACTATGTTCTGCAGCAGGGCATATTTAGGTCCTCTCATTATGTGTCCAAAGTACTCAAGTTTTCTCTTTTTAAGGGTGTTAATCACCTCTTCGTCCTTCTGAATTCTGCGTCGCAGTTCTACATTTGTAACCTTGTCAGTCCATGCAATCCTCAGCATACGCCGATAACACCATCTTTCGAATGACTCAAGCTTTTCCATTTCGGCCTTTTTATGTGTCCAAGCCTGTGAACCATAGAGTAGAGTTGCAAATATGTAACCCCCTAGCATTCTTAATATAAGCTTTAAGTTGATGTCTCCACTGCAGAGACATTTTTTGAGTTTTACAAAGGATACTCTGGCTATTTCTATTCGAGCTTTTATTTCTGCTGATTGATCCAAGTTTTCGGTCAACCAACTGCCTAGATATTTATATTTTTGTACTCTCTCCATAGGTGTATCATTTATTAGAACATTGGCTTGGACATCTTCTCTCTTAGTGATGATCATAAATTTAGTTTTCTTAGGGTTCATTTTCAGGCCATAGACTCTACACGTGTGTTGTTTAGTCTTTGTAGAAGTGTTTGCAGACCCTCCACGTTGTCTGCTATAAGGACGGTATCGTCCGCATAAAAATAACCATTGGATGCCAAACCAAATTAAAATTTGATCCGAGAAGTTATACAGGGTGGAACAAAATTAATATTGAAAATTGGTCACTTTATACGCAAGTCACTCTTTCATTTTAAATAGAACACCCAGTATATTATTAAGCTATACCGGGTTAATTCCAATTTAGGTAGCTTTTATCGCAATTTAAAATTTTTCTTCGTTTTTAGAAAATGGTAAATATGTCAAAAACCTTACATTTTAGTCATATGCCTCTCTAATAAAACTCACCTTTATTTTTTTCTTAGAATCTAAAGATCAATTAATTGTGGGTGTTCCATTACAAAAAACACAACTTTGACGCTGACCCTGTAGAACTCATATTTTTAAAGAAAGCTCTAAGTTAACCTGCATATGATCACCAAATTTCATTTCAATCACAGTATAAAATTCAATATAAATTGTCGTTCTCCTTGGAGACTCTACGGCCCGTAATTTATAGTCGAGTCTGAAAACGCGACTCCAGTCACGAGATGCAAAAGACCGACAAAAAAAACAGGCTTACGTTTTCTCGCTCGTATACGCTCGCCTAGTAAGTCTGTTATTTTTGTCAGTCTTTTCGGAGACCCAGTTTCGAAACGCGACTATAAATACGGGCCTACATGAGAGGCGCCACCCTGTATAAGTTCTTTTTTAATTTTTCTTTCTTCTATTACAGGTGCAATAATGTTTTCAGAATGGGAACACTGGGACTTCTTAGATTCGACATATTTCTGCGTTACGTCGCTCTGCAAAATCGGTTTCGGCGATTTGGTTCCGGGAGCCGACGTTAACGCATCCAATCACGGCAATCAGACCAAAATCGTGATCAATTTCTTGTACATGCTGTTAGGCTTAGGCCTGATTGCCATGTGCTACAATCTGATGAGGGAAGAGATCAGAGTGAAATTGAAAGAAATGAACGAAGATTTCAACCAATGTCTGGAGGATACGAAAATACGATTTTTGGCTTGTTGCAAACGATGTAGAAAACGAGATCTTGAGTATGAAGATTATTAATTCATAATAAATAAATTAATACCAAAATGAGCAATTTTTATTTTTAACCATAGAAGCTGCTTTAATTTGAAATTGCTGATTTTCTATTTAAAGCATGAAGAATTGGTTAAACATCAATGCTGACTATCTGGAAAACAGTACTAAAAGAAGGTTTTACAATACTCTAAATGCCTATATTCAGTAAATATTTCCTCATAATCGGAATCGCGATAAGTAGATAAGTATGGAAATAATTGCCATTACTAACATATAACTACATATATATTTTGGTTTTACCTTAAATCTAAAATAATTATTCTCTGAAGTAGGTACGTGTAGGTATGTGCTTTTTTGGCGCCTTTCCAATAAACTATATCTACATAAATAAAACCCCTGTATAAACTAGGATAAAACTATATAGTAGATTCACACAAGTTATTGAGAACCTTAGATAAACAAAAAATCAGTTAATTCATAGATTAAAATATCCTCTTTGTTACAATTAATTAACACTATTAGGAATTTATTTATAAAATAAAAAGCGATTATCTAATCTAATAATTTAATTATTAATCTAAAAAACCCAAATACCGACCTATTTTGAATTTATTTTTTATATGTTACAAAATCACTTTTTAACTAAACTAAAACTTAAATCTTAACCAATAGATATAAAAACACGCATTAAAAAATGTATATAATGTGGTAGAACGAAAATTAATTACATTATATGTTTACAAAAAAAGAACTTACAACTTACCAAATATTGCTAAATTTTGCTATTTTTCTTGAGTTTCTCATTCCTCAAATGTCAAATTTTTAAAGGTTGTAATGTCTATCAAACTCATCTTCCTTTTAAAATTATTTTGATGGCGTAAGCTGCCAGAACTCATCTTCTTTTTAATTTATAATATTTTGAAAGACATAAGAATTTTTCTAGAGAATAGCCACGTAGCTTTGACAACTAAGACCAGCGAAAAATAGAAGAAGAAAGACAGAGAAAGAGCGTGTCTTTTATCTTCTTCTGTTACATTATGATTTGCCCTAATTATACAATTGACGTAGAGAGAATTTAAAATAGATCAAATTATTTGTTAGGACAAAAAAATAAAAAGAAGAAGATTTAGTTGTCTGACAGCACTGACAGCTGTTTGTTTATGGAATTTAAAATATTATTTTTATTAACAATTAATTTGTAGATAGTTATTAATTCAATTTGTATAATAGCATTCCAACTGTGTAAGTTAAATAACTATATTAATTATGGCTTTATACGACAACAAGTATTGGCTTCTGTCCCATATACGAAATTCGTTTATATCAACAGACGATACAGGTAAAAATAAATAAAACTTACTAATACATTTGTCTATTTAATATATTCCTGCCCATTTCAAGGCATGTGCGAAGTAGTAATGGTGGGTGAGTCAAAACAAGTTAAAGAAAAGTTTTTCAGTCAGGAGCCTTTTGCAGACCCTGATGAAAGTGATGAAGAGGAAGATGATGATGAGACAGGTAAAAATTCGTTTTATAAACATGGCACAATATGTGTTTTACGGGTTGTACAAACTTTCAATATATTATATATACCAACGTTAGGGTCTTATGATCTTCAAATGGATGCATATTTTGGTATAAGGGATAGAGGGGCAACATCAAGAGCAGAGAAGTTGGAAAATAACACTAAGAAACCTCCTAAAATGAAACATATTAAATGGGAACCGAGAAATAACAGTACAGAGGACAATGATAATGGATCCATTAATGATTTATTTGTGAAAAAGGAAATCAAACCACCTGATAAAACCAATAGTATGTTACCCAGGTTTTTAAATTTTTATTTTTTATTATATTTTTAAAACCTTGTATAATTGAATTCATATAATTTTAAGAAAAGGTTGTAAAATCTGGCCTGAGTGCGCTCATAGAAAAATTTACTCACTTACCATTGAATCCTTATATGGAATTTGCAAAATTTGATGGCTCTGGTCAAGTAAATATACCTACTAGAAAATATAGAATTTTTTTAACAATGTTGCCAGAGGAACAAAGACATTACCCACTTCCTATTGTTTGCATTGCCACTGCTAAAATCCAAGATCTGGTTGGTTTGACATTATTGAAATTCAGGTATGTATAAGTCCTTTGCAATGTTTCAAAGAAGTCTGTCTCTTCAAAAATGAAGTTAATAAATAAAGTTGTGTAATTTGTAGTACAAATCATTCAGATTTTGTTTTGAAACCTGTCGCAAACTATGGATTGTACATCACAGAAGAGGACGGTGAAGTTGACAGTGACTTTCCTAATTTGGATCCTAAAGAGTGTGTGGCCAAATTTGGATTTAACTGCCTAGGTAACAAAATCATTCAATAAATTTGCTATTTTATACTATATATACAGGGTGTTCCTAATTGTAGTTGGGAAACTTCAGCAGCATATACTTTGTATAAAATTTAAATACAATTATTTTCAGGGCTTGTTGAACATAAGGATCCACCAAAGATGGTCAGTTTTGATACACCCGAAGAAATACCTTCGTCGCCCGACAGTAGCGGCGGTAAGAAAAGAACAACTTCGTCTTCCAAAGCTGAAGAGACAAAACAAATTAAAAACGATAAGGAAATAATGGACGGACACAACAGAGCAATGGAAGCGCCATTATACAAATCGTATCGCGTTCATATTGTAAACAAACTCCGCTGGTGGAACATGGAAGTTCATTTAGGTATTATATAGATATACGTTACTTTTTTATTCCATTTTTGTGAACGCCAAATAATACGTTTTCAATTCTACTTAACAACTTTTTATTTTGAAGATTTTTATACCAATAAATTATAGAAATATAAAACTTTTACTTTTTTAATTCATTGTACTTCTATTTAGTGTTTAGTATAATGATCAGTCAGAATTATATATCAAAAAGCCTTAATCTAAATATATTTCTTTTAAACCATAGAGAGAAAAAGTATAGCTTAAGTATAGTAACCTTTAACGTTCAGAAAAAAATAGAAACGCGTTTTTTTTGTAGGAATTAGCAGTGATAAAATTGAAATAGATCCTATTGCTCAGAAAAATACGAAATTGCAACTGGTCAAGCAGAGTCCCATGAGCCATCCTATGGACACAATCGCTTTTTGCGAAGAGCTGGAAACCAGGGGCAATAAAACTACTTTCGTTGTGGTCTATGCTGCTGGATTTGGAGGGAAAAGTAGCGAAAGAAATCCTTATCCAAGCTGTAAGTCTTTAATTACTAGGACAATAAAGAAATATTTAATTAAAAAAAATAAAAGTTGATATTAGATAAGAAATATTTTTTTTTCCTTTATGGTAGGAAAAACAAATTTTTGTTATTCAGCAGAGTCTTAAGAATCCTTATTCAAGTTGTGAGCCTTCAATTTTAACAAGATCAAGTATTTTTGAGAAGTTATAATATCGGGTCATTTGAACTACTTTCCCATCTAAACATCTCGTATTATTTTAGAGACTTTTTCTTAAGGTGCGTTCACACCGGCTGCGCCGCGCCGCGCCGCCCAAAACATTTTTTTAACATATACTTTTGAAGTGTATTTTTTTTAGCGCGCACAAAAGTATATGTTAAAAAAATGATTTGGCGGCGCAGCCGCTGTGAACGCACCTTTACATTATCAGAACAAAAAAAATGATAATTAGGAAACAATAAAAGGTCTGTTCCCAGAAGAATCTCTGACTAGTCAGCGCGTTTCTTATTGGTTGAAATGCGTAGAAGGGAACGCATCAGGGAACAGACCTAAAATCAAACAAACTGACGCATTTTAAGCATTTAAAATATCGAGTCATTTGAACTACTCTTTCATAAAAACATTTTTCGTTATTATTTTAGAGACATGAGTTCTTTCATTACATTTTCAAAACAATGAAGACATATTTAATTAAAAAATAATGATATGCCATACATATATTATCTATACTAATTTGATATTATTAGATAGGTCTTTTTTAGTTTTTTTTTAATTTTATGGTCACAAAAAATATTTTTTAAGCTTTCAACATGCCATCTCTTCAGACATCGCCCAGCTTCAAACATTACGATTTCGAGGCAGAAAAAGACATTGCCGAAGAAATTGTGAGCAAAATAAACCTAATTTTAAATCTCAGAACCAGTCCTTGCAGAAGAGAATATCTAGCAGCCAAGGAAAGAAAACATTTTATGAAGAGAAAAAGTTTCAGGTCACTTAAGTAATTTTTTTATAGTTAAGTTAAATAAAGATATTTATATCAACAGGCCTGTTATTAAAAAAAAAGTTTTTTTTTAAATATTTTATTAGAAAAAAACTATACTATACATTATTCTTAAGTAAAAATTCAAAACATTTTAAAGATAATATTGAGGTAAATTATACAAGTTCTTTTTAAGATAATCAAAAATTAAAATTCATTTATATAATTGAAAATATCCCTCAATGACTTGTTTTAGAACAAAATTGGAACACTTATAATAACAAATTCCCTATGTATCTTACAAACATAATTCAACTAAAAAACTTTCAGTTTTTATAGGCAACTTTTGTTATTAAAAAGTGTTAAATATACACAAATATAATAATTAAAAATATAGTAATAATAGAAAACGTACTTCTACATTAAAATTTATGTTCTAGCTTCATTCTTAGTAGAAAATCCCAACATTTTAATCTATTTTTTAACGTGTTTATCCAAAAGTATACAGGGTGTCCCAGGCTGAGCGTGCATTAAAAGTTTCTAGAGAACCATAATATCTAGATCGGAGATTTTTTGCACATCATTGTTTTACAACGAGATCTATCGATTAAAAATATTTTCAAAATGGCGGCACTTCCGGAAATACCGGAAGTTGACAGCAACTTTCTTATTTTAAATGGGTGCCCCCATTTTTTATTTCATACTTAAATTATCTGTAAAATTGTATGAATATTGATGTTAAACACTCTATACCTATCATTAACCGTTTTTGATAAAAAAAAATATTTAAAATTTTTCGACGAAAAAAACTACCTGTCAAAAAAATTTGTATATCCTAAAAGTCAAATTTAGTGATTACCAGAGCCACTGTGCCATAAAGAGAAGACATGTGGCTATCTATTTCAAAAATTAAATTGTTCAAATGTCATATAATAATAGCGGTAGCTGTCATGGAATTGTGCAATTAAAAAATTATCATAAATCATTTATTTTTAAATGGAAACCCACTTTTTTTATTTTACTAATGAAAAGGTTTTTCAATTCGTTACTTTTAAACTATACATGTCCCTATACCTAAACTAAATCGTTTTTAAGTTATTTAAGATTTAATTTGAAAACATATTTTTCTTGATTTTATCTAGCTTCCTTTGACATTAAATGTCAAACGGTCAGACAATTTATTTCCATCTGTCAGAAAACGAATTATTTAAATTTCCTATATTATAAATACTGCCTGATTAAGAGGTTAAAAAGTATATTTATAAAAATTAATAACTCTTTAGTGATATCTAAAGTTGATATTATTAATTTTCGGTATGATAAAAAAAACAGCGCAAAGTTGGCTTGGAAATGATGCTGCTTTTTGAACAAAGCGTGACAATATGACATGGTCAGATCTATTGTTTTACATCGCTTGACGTTTAAAGTCATAGGCTACTGGTTAAAATCAAGAAAAATATACGCTTTAAAACTAAATCTTAAATAACTTAAAAACGATTTATTTTAGGTATAGGAATATGTATAGTCAAAAAGTATTAGTGAAATAAAATAAGTGGGTTTCCATTTGAAAAAAATGATTTATGATAATTTTCTAATCGGTAAGTTCTATGACAGCTGCGGCCATTATCATATGACATTCGAACAATTTAATTTTTGTAATAGATAGCTACACGTTTTCTCTTTATGGCGCCGTGGCTGTGGTAATCACTCAATTTGACATTTAGGTTATACACAATTTTTTGACAAGCAGTTTTTTCCTCCAAAAACTTAAAATATTTTTTTTCTCAAAAACGTTAATGTTAGGTATAGACTGTTTGATATCAAAATTCATAAAATTTTACAGAGAATTTAAGTATGTAATAAAAAATGGGGGCGCCCATTTAAAATAAGAAAGTTGCTGTCAATTTCCGGTATTTCCGGAAGTGCCGCCATATTGAAAATATTTTTAATCGATAGATCTCATTGTGAAACAATGATGTGCAAAAAATCTTCGATCTAGATTTTTTAGTTCTCTAGAAACCTCTAATGCACGCTCAGCCTGGAACACCCTGTATAATATCCCTCTGAGAGACAAAATGTACACCAAAAATCATTATTGCACACACCAAAACCGCCCGCTGGCTATGGAACACTTGAAATGAAAAATATACCCTTAATATGTATTATAAATACAATAAGCTGACTGATTAATAGGGATTTACAAATGGAACTACATTTTCTTACATTATCATAACAAAAAAGAGAAAATTAATGATAAAATAATAAAATTTGATATTTTTTGGCATTCAACATGGATGGACTCCTAAGAATCTTTATTCAAGTTGTGAGTCTTTAATTTTAACAAACTGAAGCAATTTTAATAATTTAAAATATCGGGTCATTTGAACTACTCTTTCATATTAACATCTCACGAATTATTTTAGAGATCTGAAGTATTTAATTAAGAAATAATGATAAAAAACAGACAGATATAAAATGTATGGTTTCTCTACTAGGACCGAAGCTAACACAACTCAAAAATCACGCTTCCGGTAAATTTACTTAGCAATATTGCCCTTCTTCAGTATCTATCCCTTCCCCTGTACCTCTCCTCACGTCCATATTTGTCATTGCGTTCGCGTTCGTTGTCACGACCGTGATGTTTGTGCTTGTTTTTATTCGGACTTCTGCTCCTATCTCTGTGCTTCCGTTCCCTTCTGTCGTTATCTTCTCTATGTCTACATAAAAATAAAGGTAGTTTGATACAAAACATTCGTTCTTTCACATTTGGTTTTATTCTGTATTTAATATTTAAACGTCCTTGTTTTTGTACCTTTTCAACCTACCTCTCCCTTTCTCTTCTGTCATCCCTGCGATCCCTGTCGTCCCGCAGGAAATCGCGTCGCAAATCTTCCCGTGCTGGCCGTTCCCGTTCGAACCTGCGATCCTCGCGAGCTCTTTGTTGCGCCGCTTGCACCGCTTGTGGAGGAAATTTAGACTACGAAAAATAAATCCAAAATATAAATGGATCACCTGTCTACAGGGTTGTTCACCACATACGACACGGGGTATTGTAGCTAAACGATTAGATTTTTGCAAATTATAAGTTTTGGGTTCGTTGAAGGACTTTTAGAGCTACAATTTAAAATTATTTTTACAAGATACAGAGTGTCCCAAATAAGTAAAAATATTAGTTGTATTTTTTTAAACGGAACACTCCGTATATTATTCTATTTTTAGATTCTACGATTGAAATTAAGTTATATTTGGTTAAGGTTTATCATACCTTACCGTTTTTGAAATATTTTCAATTTTATGAAATTGCAGTAAAAAATTTAAGGCATCGTTTCTCCAAGGGTATTAAATGTTTTAATACTAAATATTTACTTGGATTATTTATTTATTATATTATATTATACCGAGTGTCCAAAAATTTATATTAAATAATTACTAGCTTTAAACGGCAATAACTTGTTTAATTTAAATGGAACACCCTGTATATTTTACGAGAATCCGATGCACAATATAATTGTCTATTAAATTGTATTATACCATTTTTTACCTATCTCTTCAAGTTTTCGTAGAAAATGCATTTTTTATAATTTAGACCTCATTTATCACTATACCTATGGAATATTGACATTTTAGATTTTTTTAAAGCAATATGTACAAAATGTACAGATGGTAAAAATAATAATATTGCAAGCCCATTTGTTTACAAACAGAAAACTATTTAAATATTTGTAAAAGAGTATACCAATTATTAATTATTTATATACCACCATTATTTCCGACCAAAAATTAGTTAATTACATATATAAATTGTTTTAATTAATAAAATATTCTAAATAATTGACTCAGAAATCAATACAATAATAAGTTATGAAAAACAACAATTAAATTTATAACAAAATGAATTTACAACAAAGACGTTCACTCTGTTATACATAATCATTTGTCAAAAAATGAAATAAAATTTATAAGATGTTACTTTTTACCACGCTGTCTAATACACATACAAAATTCAGCTTTTTAGTATTTGGAGCAATTATTAATCAACGTAAACAGTCAATAATTAATGTATATATGTAGTTTTAATACTGGTATCATATTAATTATATGATACCATAATAATTAATAATTAATTAATACTTATTAATTATTTAATACTGGTATCATCTTTAACAAAAACATATGTAAACGGTTTTTTATCTTTTAATGAAATAAGCAAACTATATCCACAATATCTGGTACTCTTTTGAAAATTTGTCACATCTTTAAAAATAATCTAAAATGTCAATATTCCATAGGTATAGTGATAAATGAGGTCTAAATTGTAAGAAAATGCATTTTCTACGAAAAATTGAAGAGATAGGTATATAAATAAAGGTATAAAAATGGTATAATACAATTTGATAGACAATTAAATTGTGCATCTGATTCTCGTAAAATATACAAATACAGGGTGTTTCATTTAAATTAAACAAGTTTTTGCCGTTTAAAGTTAGTAATTATTTAATATACATTTTTAGACACTCTGTATAAGGTAGTATTTGGTTTATAAGTGCAACACAATATCTGATAAATAAATAAACAGTAAATATTTAGTATTAAAAACTTCGATACCCTGGGAGAAATGAAGCCTTAAAATTTTTTACTGCAATTTCATAAAATTGAAAATATTTTAAAAACGGTAAGGTTTAAGTATGATAAACCTTAATTAAATTTACCATTATTTCAATCGTAGAACCTAAAAATAGAATAATATACAGGGTGTTCCATTTAAAAAAATAAATTATTTGGGACACTCTGTATTTTGTAAAAATATTTTTAAATTGTAGCTCTAACAGTCCTTCAACGAAACCAAAACTTACAATTTGTAAAAATCTAATTCTTTAGCTATAATACTCAGTGTCATATGTGGTGAACAACCCTGTATATACCCCTTAATTACCTCGAGATATTTCTGGATCTTTTGTTGAATTGGTACAGGAATCCTGGGGAACAATGTTGAAAACCACTCTAATTTAACCAACCACTGTCTCAGCATTTGTCCGATGGTCATTGTCTGACCTCCGCCAGCTTTCACGTCGACTTCCTGCAACTCATGAAGTGAATTAAGCAAGAGAAAACACAAAGCATGACTCTCAGTAAAATCTGCATTGTCACTGGCCATGTTTATTTCACCTAAGTTGATAATTTGATAAATAATTTTATTTTGAAATAAACATGCCCAAAGAGATCTTTATATCCACCTGAAAAAATGGTAAAAATATAGATAGGCACCACTCTACCTTATGTACGCACCTCTTCATCCTCTAGGTAATCTTCATACCATTCCAATAAGCAACTTGGGGGAAGTACGTATCTTATATACATAAAACCTAGTGACCTACAAAAATGTGAAACTGAGAGCATCTGGAAATTGAAATAATACATTTTCTTACCTTATATAAGGAGAGTCACAGTGTGTAATTAAACCGTTCAACTGTTTACGGGTTAATTTTAATGTGAAGAGTTTGTAAAGTAGACAATATGCCGTTGAAACTATTCCTCCAGCACCTACACCACGAACTCCACCGCACATACCCGTTTGACCTGAATAAAAAAGAAATATATTTACAAAGCTGATTAAACCAATGTATTAATAAATCACCAACCTGAAGTTCTTCTAGATCCTTTTTCCCAAGGCTCCAAGTGACTTACTTTGTAATAAATTTCATCAACCACTTCATGATAAGTTTTTAGTTCATAAAGATTAACTAGAAAAAATTTATTTAATTAGTGACCGAAGCTGTTGAAAACATACGTTGCGTAAATTTGACTGTTCATGTAAAGAAATTGTGTAAACATACCTTTGAAATAGTGAGAACTCTGAATATTCGTTAGAATTAATGGATTAAGATTCATGGTCCTCTCGTTGCCGTACAAAGGTAAAACATTACTTTGCTTTTTCGCTACAGTTGGATCTGCAATTAAGATATTGGTTTTATTAATTCCAAAACTAATAATATGGAAAAATTACCTTCATCACCACTGTTGTTTGGGTCCATGATTTTATTATTCTTACTGTATCACTCTGATCCTATAATAATTTAGATCCCAATTAATATACTTTTTTAATTGGGAAAATGTTGGTATTTAAGTACTTTTAATATAAATAAATTAAAAAATATATTTTTCTATTAATTTATTATAAAATGCTGATAAAATGGCAACTAATGAAGTGTCAAAGTCAAAAGTCAAGTGATGCGCGTTGCAATTTTTTCAGAGATACCAACCATTAATAAATGGTACCCAAAATAAGTTTTAAAATGTAAAGAAAGTAGCTTTTGTTTGTTTTTACATGAGAACTGTGAAAAAATTAAACGTTAGCATGAAATATATTGTTAATCCTGTGTTAAGACAGTTTAACAGTTTTAAGGTATATATTTTTGAAAATACGCAATTTATATATGATATATGATTCTTTTTAAAATTTGTACACAAGATTTTACTCTGTGGTACCGAATTCTTAGAGCTGGAGGGAGTATATTTGTGTCTCTTTCAAATATTTACAAGAAACACAGACAGCAAATTACTGACGTGCAGCAAAATCTTCTTTTTGATATTGTTGGCCTTTGCTCTTATTTTTTGAAAAACTTGAATTTAAAAATTACAAAAACAGGAATAGTTTATAATTGTTTTATTCAGAGGTTTTATTGAATTATAGCCTTCGTAAAAGTTATACTAGAGACTAGAGCCCTAAAATTTATTATTTGATTTTTTTTTGCAGAATGTCTCAATAGGAATTAATTATTTTTACTCATTTACGAGTTGAAGATAAAATTACATATCTAAAGTTAAAATATATTAAACTAACTCTTTAACAATAAAATAATTGATAGAATTTCAACCATAATATTTAAAAATTATTTTATATTTCTATATTTTGAATTTAGCGGGAATAGGGTTAACTAAGTGCTTCAGAGGGCGCAACTGTAATTTTTGCGTTATGTTTTTTTACGGATGATTGTGAGGTACAAAGTGAGTGTATAAAATCTACGAAATTGTATTTTTAACAACTAAATTCTTCATTTTTGATCGACAAGATACACGAAAAAGAAAACCCAATGAATGAGCGCGGAAATGGCTGATGAACAAGTAAGAAAATTCTATGCTAGATTACTGGATACTTGTCCTACTCACTTTACTGCCTGTAGGATAATTAAGAACTATATTATGATTTGTTTTAATAAGTTTATTATATTATAAGATTGCAAGTATGCAAGAGCACAAGGAAAGGTTGATAGACACTAAAAACTTACATTTTTCTAAATGAAAAACATTAGTGCAGCCATGGTTATGTTTATGCAATACAAGTCATGGTTAATATTAACAATTTAGATTGTAGAAAAAGTACTATTTTAGGAACTGTTTAAACTATTTAACAGTTTATATACTATATGAAATTCTTTGAAATACTTAATATATCTGTATCTTCCAATACAAATTTTCTGTAATTATGGTTAGTATGCACTTAATGTGATTTTTAGGAAATCAGACAGATTGAGCATCTCTGCAAACAACTTTATGAAACATCTAACACAGATATTCGTTCTGGAGCTGAAAAGGCGCTGGTAGTATTTCAAGATAGCCCCGAAGCCCTAGCAAAATGTCAGCTTTTGTTAGAAAGAGGAGATTCAGCATTTGCTCAAATGTTAGCTGCTTCAACGTTGACAAAATTAGTATCAAGAAGTACAAGTACAAAGTCTACAATTAAATGTATTTTTATTAATCTCTTAACGTTTCTTGCTTTCTAGCTATAACTGTCCAACAGAAAATCGATATCAGGAACTATGTGTTAAATTATTTGGCCAACAGGCCCAAATTAGCTCCGTTTGTGGTGCAAGCCATGGTCTCACTTTTTGCCAGAGTTACTAAATTGGGATGGTTTGATTGTCCTAAGGATGATTTTGTGTTTAGGAATGTCGTAGCGGATGTTGGAAAATTTCTACAAGTATGTAGCTTGTTGGTGTTACTAAACAGAGGTCGTATCTCTCAAAATATAACTTGTTATGAAATTATGTAACTATTATTTGCCTTAAAGAACTCAGTAAGAATTTACTATTTAATTGTATAAATGCCTATACATATATTTTGTTTGCCCAGAGTTGTTTTTTTATTGTTTTTTTTAGAATGTTAACTGAGACAATATTGTTAAGCAATTAAATTTAATTAGTTTAATTTGTGTTGATCAAGAAATTATTACTCTATAGGTTGTATAAACATTTAGACAATTGATTTTTTCTTTAAAAATAAGGAGGGTTGTTCATATAAATTTCATCAATTTGGAATTTTTCTACAAAAATATTTTTTTATTGTATGTTTTTATTTTTGTTGTACTGTATGCCTTATTCTCTTGTGTGTTTTTATAGGGTTCTGCAGAGCATTGTATGATTGGCGTTCAACTGTTGTCACAACTTACTGTAGAAATGAATCAAATATCTGAGGTAGAAGCAAATAGATCTTTAACAAAACATAGAAAAATTGCTTCTTCTTTTAGAGACTCACAATTATTCGACATCTTTAGGTGTGTCATTTTTATCCCATATTTTTTTTATAATATACCATACCTATAATCGAAAAAAGGCGTCACAGTGGCTCTAAAAACGACATTTCAAAAGCTACCGTGATACCGTTTTTTTTTTCATAGTCTATATTAATTATGTTTTTTAGGCTTTCGTGTAATTTATTATCAAATGCAAGAGAAAATACAAAGAGATTAGATTTTACCGATGAACATCAACATGGTTTGATGACCCAGTTGTTGAGATTAGCCCAGAATTGTTTAACCTTTGATTTCATTGGTAAATTGATCAGTATTATAATAAATTCGTATGTTTTTTTATAAAAATGAATATTTTTTTTAGGAACATCAACAGATGAATCAACCGATGATCTTTGTACAGTTCAAATTCCTACCAGTTGGCGACCTGCCTTTTTAGATTTTACCACATTAAAACTGTTTTTCGATCTGTACCATGCCTTACCGCCGACACTGGCTTGTCTAGCTTTGGCTTGCTTAGTTCAGATTGCTTCTGTTAGAAGGTCTTTATTTAGCAATTCAGAAAGGTAAGTAAGCCAACAATATGATCTCATGTTGACTCCATTTCCTAGTTTATCATGGAATTCCAGTTTATATACCATACAATTAAAAAAACGGCGCCCACAGTGGCCTTTGAAGTAACAAAAATTAGCAGAAAAACTGGCCTAAAATTAGTGTTTAAAGGAAGAAAAATAAAGTTTACAGACATACAAATCATTAATTAAAATTTTTTTTTGAAAATTTAATAGTACCTGGAAAGTCAAGAACGGTAAACTAATAGGATTGCTCATCCTCATTAGAGACGTACGTTCGCCTCTTCAAGCGCTTCAGCTGACAGTTGTGACGCCATTGTAGTCCTTGTTATGATAGTGTGTATTATTGGTTGCCTATGGTAAATTAATAAAAATAACAGCTGAGAAATTTTTATTTAATTATTTTGTCAATTTTAAATGTGAAAAAGGTGTTTTTAAAGTTTTTAGAGCCATAGAGTTTATAAATACGTTCATTTTGTGGTGTGGATTGTGACTAAGTGCCTACAATATTGTTTATTAATTATTTTGCTGGGAACTGCTGTTCTTAAAAATGCATTATGCGAATATTTAATACGATTTATACAGTTAATTTTCGATACTGCATACATATAAGGTTTTTAAATAAATAAACTAAATAATGAATGTTTTGCATACGGCAACCAATAATACACACACTATCATGACAAGGACTACAATGACGTCAATTTTTTTTATCTATATGTTTGATAAGAGACATTGAAATCGGGCCGACATAAATCATCGATTGTCATTTCACAGGTTACTTTGACGCCGTTTTTTTTCAATTTCATGATTTATATGTAACGAAAAAGTCCGATTTTAAAATTTAGAGCTTTATTAAATGAGAGATACTATTATGAAAGAGTAGTTCAAATGACCCAGTATTTTGTTTTAGTTTTTAAAGTTTTAGTTTCAGTATAAAATATGAATTAACTATTATCACGTATGGCTACTATGACGCAGTTTTGAAGAAATTTTTATGAAAGTTTTTTTTCGATTTTAGGGCCAAGTTTCTTACAAATTTAGTTAATGGTGTAAAGCAAATTCTACAAAATCCCGAAGGTTTAGGCGATCCAAATAACTACCATGAATTCTGTAGATTATTGGCTAGATTGAAGAGCAATTATCAGCTTGGAGAGTTGGTTATGGTGGATAACTATCCTGAGGCTATTCAGTTAATAGCTAAATTCACAGTAATGGGCTATTTTTGTATCAAGAATATTATGTTGACTAATAAATTTTTAATACTTTTTTCAGATACAAAGCTTACAAATGTGGCAGTTTGCACCCAACAGTGTCCACTACCTTCTCTCATTGTGGCAAAGAATGGTAGCTTCAGTTCCTTATGTCAAAGCCACTGAGCCTCATTTGTTAGAAAGATATACTCCAGAGGTAAATAAATTCACAGAGGAACTTTTTACATCACAATACTTGTATATTATTAACTTAAAGTTTTGCTGGTCTTTATGATATATTAAGGTAATTGATTTATTTTAGGTTACAAGCGCCTATATAACGTCTCGTTTAGAGTCTGTTGTATTGGTGGCTCAAGATGGCCAAGAAGATCCTTTGGACGATTTGGGTTTAGTCCAACAACAGTTGGAGCAACTTTCTGTGATTGCCAGGTGTGAATATGGGAAAACTTGCGCTCTTTTGGTGCAGCTATTCGACAGAGCTGCTTCCACCTATCAGGAGCTGCTCAACTCGCCTCCTCAACCTTTAGAAATAACTATACAAGAAGGTAAGTGTAAATAAATAGAAATAATGATAATAAACATCTGTTTCTTTAGGACAACTCACTTGGTTAGTCTATATTATCGGATCAGCGATAGGAGGTCGAGTTTCATTTAACTCTAGCGAAGAACATGACACAATGGATGGCGAGCTAGTCTGTCGGGTGTTACAGTTAATGAATTTGACTGACAACAGATTGTCACAAGGTAAGTAAATTTTGTGATTAATTAGCTAATCAAATTCAAAAATTGGAATGATCTGTATTGATTTTAGGTGGCTGTGAGCGGCTGGAGTTAGCGATGCTTAGTTTCTTCGAACAGTTTAGAAAAATATATGTCGGTGATCAAGTACAAAAGAATTCTAAAGTGTATAGGAGGTTGTCAGAAGTATTAGGTTTGAATGATGAGGCGACAGTGTTGAGTGTATTTATTAGGAAAATGTAAGTATTACAAGTCACACTGTTTTTTAAAACTGTTATTTCCAAATAACATTTGGAAGTGTTGTTATTTTCATACCTATTATTTTTTGAATGTAACAATTGTTGTGAACTTGATAGAATTTTGTGGCGCGGCCCTACCGACTTTATATCACGAGACATATCTGTTAGCGCAGTGTTATTTTTATACCTGTTATTTTTTGGGAGTAACAACTGTTATGAACTCTTACTTCGAAATATCAATTCTGTTATTTGTTTATACAAAGGGCTGGCAAAGTTTAGTTTTGGGTCGAGATTTCCGTATGTAAGAAGGGTACAATGCGTTTATAATGTACTGAACAAAGAGAGAACAGTAAAAACGTTGCCAAACGTATGAAATAAACCGAGAAACTGTGCACATTGCTAAGAGACGTGGGAGGGTATATAGCAGATTCGTCGCGATCGACCGATCGACCCAATCAGTACCTAAAATTCTAGGAAAGGGTGTACAGCATGCTTTTAGCTTCACAATTTAATTACGACTCGTGATACTTTATTTATTAACAAGTAGTTGTGATTTTTCGTATAGTTTGTAAATTTTTAAGTGCAAGTTAGAAACACATGCACTTTTGGTAAAAATAAGTGGAATTGAGTTTGTGTTCGACAGTGGTTGCGCTATTAGAACTCTGAATTCAAAAGAAATAATTGATTGTAGTTTTTTAACAAAAACTTTCTTAAAATTTCTGCTATATTTTCTTTGCAGACAGTATGTTAAAATCTTTATAAATAAAAAAGTAACACAATTGCTGAAAATTTCTGTACACTAAAAGTAAATGGATGTTTTTTTTTTAATTTTTGAATGGAAAAAAACCAGCTTATCGATTTTTTCTTATTTAAACATCTTATAAAAGATCCGAACTTCAAACTAAAAAAAAAGTTTCAATATCTAAAGTGGTTCTTGAGTTATCGCGTGTTATGTGTTAAAAGTTGAGTTTTTAACATATCGCAATTACTGACGTTTAAACTGACCGAGAGAGAGAGAGAGAAAGACACCCTAACGATATCCTAATAATTCCATTTCAGATGCTCAGAAACATAGCTAATGATTTTATCCAGTTTTTTTTTGGTAAAAAGTCTTTTAAAAATAAGCGGTTTACGATCGTGATTTTACTTTACTTGACAAGGAAATGTGGCGACGCCGCAACACCATACCGTCGCATTTCTCTCACTCTGACTTAATAAGATCACTATGCGATTTACTTCCACACATTTAAATACCGACTCAAAAGTAAGAGTTGCCAGCACGGTGTAACAGTTCCGCCATTTATAAATAACAGTTTTGTTATTATATTTATAAATATAAGTTTCGTTATTTAGAAATATCTGATATTTAGAAACCTGTTACAATTAGAACTGTTATCTCGAAATAACAGTTCTAAAATAATTAAGTATTGTATCACAGCTAGTTGCTATTAAAAATCATGCTTTTTTATTAAATATGGCTTATTTATTTTTAGTATAACAAATTTAAAATATTGGGGTAGAAGCGAGAACATAATTAAAAAAACCTTACAACTTCTAAATGATCTGTCTGTTGGATACAGCTGTGTTAGAAAGCTTGTAAAGTTGGATGAAGTACGTAACAGATAAAGTAGTTAAGAAATCTTCGTTTTGACTGTCTTTTTATCGCAACTTTTAGGTACAATTCATGTTGAACAGTCATACCAGCGAGCATTTCCCTTTCTTAGGAAACACCGTTTCCGTAAACGAGATGAAATGCAGGTCAATGTTCTATACTTCACTCGGTAGATTACTTATGGTAGATCTGGGCGAAGATGAAGATCGGTTTCACAACTTTATGTTGCCTTTAACTGGTACAATATTTCTTCTTTAACTCAATTTCTAATAAAAAAAAACGTTTTATTTTTATTTTAGCTGCATTCGAAAGTATAGGTCAGTTATTAGCAGCTTCTGAGTCGCCAATGTTTGCGACCGAGGAAGCTAAAAAAGCTCTGATTGGCTTAGCGAGAGATCTTCGAGGTTTAGCTTATTCTTTCAATACCAAAACGTCGTATATGATGCTGTTTGATTGGATGTATCCTTTTGACTACAATTTACGTTTATTTTATTTTATTCTTACTATATGTTTCTTAAATATACCTTTAGCTATCCCAATTATACCCCGATTTTGCTAAGAGCAATAGAACTATGGTATCACGATCCGCAGGTAACTACCCCTGTTTTGAAATTATTTGCAGAACTAGTTCAAAACAGGTCGCAAAGGTTACAATTCGATGTTTCCTCTCCAAATGGTATTTTACTTTTCAGAGAGGCAAGCAAGATCATCTGTAGTTATGGTAAGATACTTTTAAATTATATAGTTTGTTCAAGTTTCATAATAACTTTGAATATTGAGGAAATTTGAAGGAAATAATTTATACAGAATTTCTCATTTTATAAGGCTGATGTAACAGAGTAGTTCAAATAACCCGATATTTTAAAATTTAAAAGAAATGCCTTTATTTCGTTAATAAATACATTTTTTATAATATAACATGTATAACTTATATTTGTTTATTTAATTGTGGGTACTTATTAATACCATACTATAGAAAAATAAACAGCGTCACAGTGGCCTTTGAAATTACAATTTATTTTATTCAGATTTACCACCACTTAAAATACTTGAACTATATATAGTATATAGAGTATAAGGGTTGGAACCACAAAAATTATCATCGACTGTCGTTTTAAAGACCGCTATGACATGAACTCAGTTACTTTTTAATATAATATGTAGCTTTAAAAACCGAAATAACGAAACAGTAGTTCAAATGACCCGTTGTTTTATATACACACACCGGAAAAGTCTAGGGATTTTACAATTTTATCCAGCCATCGTCAGTAATTTTATTATTTGCATTTCTAATATAATAAAATTAAAATAAACAAACAGTTTACAGGACGTATTGAAAATAAAAATGCGAAATTTACCGAATTTTTCAAATTTACCTTGATTTTTATTGAACTCAAAAAAATACACACGTTTTTTTTTATTCTAAACTATGAATTAAAAGAAACAAAGATAAAACAATTTTTACTTAATAAAGGGTATGACCTCCTCTACTGTTCGTTACAGCCCTACATCGTCTCTCCATGCTCCTGATCAGGTTGTCGATCTCTTCTTGAAGTACATCCTGCCACGCTGCATTCATGGCCCGAACCAGATCTCTACGAGTTTCACGAGGAATACCTATTCTCAAAATTCTTCTTTGGACCGCGTCCCATACGTGCTCGATGGGGTTGAGGTCAGGAGATTGTGCCGGCCAGGGTAAGATGTTTAATTGATGAGCATTGATAAACTCACTTACCACTCTGGCTGTATGAGGCCGTGCATTGTCATGCATGCCCAAATGAGGGAGAACATTATAAGGTAGAATTAAAATAAAAACACATTTTCGATGTAGTTGTTTATTTAAATAAATTTGTAGGAGTCAACCATCAGATAAACAAGCTGCCATGGCCCAGTGGTTTGAAAATTTGATGGAAGGTATTGAGAGGAACCTGTTAACTAAAAATAGAGATAAGTGAGTATTTTAGGGAGTAAAAAGGTATGGCAAACTTAATAAAGTTACATTCACTCTGGTTAGGTTAGGTTAACCTCTACCTTTTTTCGAATATAGCGTTTTTAACATATACATATAACTAAAATATACTCAGCCTAATCTCCAAAAAGTGAAGCCCAAACAGTGAAAGAGAAATATGGAATTCTGCATAAGTCTATTTCACCCGGATATTCATTTAACTGCGCATGCATTACCTGAAGAAGTTTTCATTGGTCAGTGTTTTTAAAGGGAAGTGGTTGACTGGCATTTCATCCAAACCAAACCAAACCTTCAATTTTATTTATATTTTTATTATTTATAACATTATCATGGAGTTGGAAAAACATCAAAAAATAGTTTGAAACAATAAACTAAACAACAATCAATCGGAGTTTGGTGCAATCGCAGTTCAATCCATATCCCGGTGAAATAGACTTATGCAGCATTAATATGGAGCTGGGTTATGTTGTTTTTCTCTTACTGCATACGGGGTTAAATAGGGAACCCTGAGTATATTTTAGTTATACGTATATGGTTTTTAACGAAAGTTTCAGTAAATGTGAAATAGAATGGCAACACCGCATACATATACTTCTAGTACAGGAAATAAAAATAGATTACTATATGCGAAATTTTATGCTGAATCCAAATCTGTATAGAAAAATAAGGGCTCTATATTTGTCTTCCACCATGATTGGGCGAAACGTCGCATAAATTTTTTTTTCATAATTTTATCATCACAATAATCTCATACCCAAGAAAAAAACTAAACATATATTCTATAAAGATAAATTGATGGTTGAAGAAAAAAGAAACAAATAAACTATTGTATAGATCATACCTTTGAATAAGAAGACTAAGGAAGGAGCATAATGCTATACATGTATTCATGCATGGTGGGCGGAAAAAGCACTCTAGGGTGGGGATCCTTGACAGTTCTGTTTGACGATGCATTTGACACATTTGAATTTGATTTGAAATTTTGTGGATTTGTCAGTCTTTACGGAGCTTATTTCATGTTATTTATTATTTATTCTACTACTGATAGTTGTATAGAGGTAGTAAATCTAGATGGAAATTGTGGCAGAACTTAAATTAACAGTGACACTATCGCGATTTATCGAAAAAGACTCTAAAATAGTTGGTTGTGTAGCGTGCGGTAGATCTCGGCAAAAATTGAGTGAAATAATGGAACAACTTTTTGCTAGTAAGTGACTAGATAATATACATACGTGTAGTAAACCGATCATTTATGAAATTCACTTAAATTAACTAAATTATATATTTTTCTTGCATTTTAGCTTTTATTTATTACTTGTCAAAGATTAGATGCCAAAGAATTTAGATACGTTAATTTGACTTACCTGCTTCAGTAGCGTATCGGAGGTTTGTGTTAATAAATACTTATTATAACTTATCTATTTTTATTAGAATTATATATTTATATAACAATTTTAATAACTACCAACATTTATTCACAACATAAAATAAAACAACAAATTATTGAGTCTACCCCACGTCTACCCTACATCATAGTTTTACATTTTTTAAATAAAATTAGAACGACACTGATAAACCGGAATTTAAGTCGGCCATATTTGAGGCCCATCGCGGTGTACCTAAGATTTTTGATATACTCCTTCCTTAGTCCTCTTATTCATAGAATCATACCAAATAAACTTTTAGTCACGTGATTAAGCTTTACCGGCACAGCGTTGCCCACTTTTACATATTTTCTTTTAATCAAATTATTTTAGGGAACAAAAATAAATTAATAATAAATATATAAACAGTTATTATTTACATCGTATCTGTATTATTTATATCGGTATCTTTATCGTCTATCTTTCTGTCATTTGGCTCTATCAGTGGCGTGATGTTTTTTTTATCAAAAATTGATGAATTTTATCAAAAATTGATGAATTTTATCAAAAATTGATTGGGATTGCCTCAGACCAATTTACCATTATAACTAGTTTTGCCTGAGGTCTAACTGAGGGTAACTCTAATTTTACAATCGGAAGCGCCAACAAATAAGCAAATTACGTATTTTTGTAATAATCTACTTATAACTAAAAGTATCTAGATACGCTACTGTAAGCATGGCTAAAGGTAAAAAAAAACGTAATGACAGTTACCATCGAAATATCAATTTCTGGTTAGAATAGTCCACCTTTTTACAAACTATGCATTGGCGAACCATCGTAGATAGTTAAAAACTACTTTAAACAGTTTTTTTGCAATAAACACTAATAATTATTAGAAAGCTGTTCAAATGCTATAAAAACTTTCAACTACCGCAGAAAACTCACAACCGTGCGCTGTCAAATATAAGTTGAATGAAAACAAATGAAAACGTCAAATGTCAGCGTAATTCTTACAGATTTCGACAATTTCGTAGTAAAAATGAATCCGAAGCGATGCTGCTAGTTGTCATTGTAATTTCCCTAATATAATTTAATTAGAAAACTAAAAATAATTTCAAAGGTTCAATTCTGGCACAATCTATGTATATTAATTAAAGTTATATACCTATACAAATATTCAGTTTAACGTTTCTGTCGGTACCCAAAAAATATTAATAACAATAATAACATTTGGAAGTCGAACCGTATTCTGTCATCATCGATTTTTGCGGGACATGGTTCGTGATAAAATGTAAATTGTTTTGTCTCCCTTTATTTAGATATCTTTGGTGAGTACCCTTTAAGGAACTTCTTGTATTAAGTTTTGTTTTTATTTCTTTCTAGATTTACTCAAAACTTGTCGATGTTCAGACGGGATGTGAACGATTCACTCAAGGGCCCCAACGTGAACACGACGTCGGTAAATGACATGATGACGTCATAGTGCGGATCGACGAATGCGCGCGCAATTGTATAAAGTGATACCGTGTACACAGTGAGAAAAAGCAAGTTGATTGAGGACTTTTTTGCATTTAATTTTATTGTTTTCTCTCTGTAATTATCGCTGGCGTTACTGAATGGCTGAGGCGGTGTTTTTATAAGGTGTGATGTAGGATCTTTTTTTGTTGTACATTTTTTATATATAATATATTTACATGTAACAAATTATATCGATTAAATATGAACAAAGTGAAATAAGCTACTGGTAACGATTTTTTTTCCGTTGGTAGATGTTTATGCTAAAACTTTATAGAAATCTATTTTATGGTTTGTTACATGGATACTGTTTTAGTATTGGCTGGGCTTGATGGAGAGGCCCAGCTTAAATTAACTGATCAAAACACATAAAAAAGAAATGATGATATAGAAATTTTTCTGTTGTTTTTTTTCATATTCCTTCTTGTTATTAATAAATAAATGCCGATTTGTAAAAGTAGTTCAAATGACTCAGTATTTTAAATTCCCCAATTCTTTGAAAACGGCTACTATAACGTCTCTTTTTATTCGTACGGTAGGTATTATCGAATAATGTATTACTTATGGGAATAATATGTGTTATTAAGACGATATCCTAAAAAGTGACAGAACCACATTTATCTGTGAATTAAAAATGGCAGATAACAACTGTCACTGTTATGTATCCTCTCAATATTTTTATCTTTATTGACAACTTTTTTAGAGACCAATATCATTTTATATACCGTAAGATAAAAAAGTCAGCTCAGGGTTGCCTTGGAAATGAAGATCGTTGTCATATGAGGTATGTCAAACAAACAAAACATCCCCCTTACGGCGTTTTTTTCGATCATATGGCAACAATTAAGAAAATTGCTACAAAGGTTTAGGGGAGTGTATATGATCGAAAAGAAACGCATCGGAGTTTTTTTTTCTGAAGGATCGACGCCTATATCTCATTTACTAAAAATTGACTTAAACTTTTGTCAGAAATTAATCTCTATTTAATTTAGATAAAAGTAACATGTTTTTATAGACAAACATATTTATAAAAAGAATAAAATAGAATAATTTATGAAAAGAATTTATTTATGAAAGAATATTTGAACACATTGTGAATTTTTCATACCAATTTTTAGAAAGGTCTCTGTAACGCCGCTTTTTTTTCGATTATCCGGTACATATACAGTATGTCCCCGAATTGTCTTTACAAGAGGAAAAAAACTCAATTATTATTGACATTTTGAGAAAAATGTATTCTTGGTAAAAAAATGTTGCTTGTTCTAAAATTATTAATCCCGTTTATACTTTTCCAAATTTCCATACCGTTTTAGAGAAAATTAAAAAAACATGAAAATATAGCTGATTTTTTTCTGCAAAGTCCTAAAAATGAGAACGCCGCGTTTCTATGGTAATATAATTTCGTTTTCATTCTTTGATAGATTGTTATTGATAGAGTTTTAATTAACGTCATATTTTTTGCTGTTTTAAAATGTTAAAGAAGTACAAAATTTATTTAATTCAATGCTACGGAAAGGGTGATAATAGTTATCGGAAAATGTGATACTTTAACAACAGCAAAAAATATAGCGTTAATCAAAATTAATAATAACCATCTATCAAAAACTGAAGTCGAAATGCTATTACCATAGAAACGCCTTTCGATTTTTAGGACTTCATTTAGGAAAAATTCAACCTTATTTTCATGTTTTTTTTTTAATTTTATCTAAAACGGTATGGCTATTTGGAAAATTATAAACAGGATTTACCATTATAGAACAAGGAAAAAAATTTACGAAGAATGCATTTTTTCCCAAAATGTCAATAATAAAAAAGTTTTTCCTCTTGTAAAGACAATCCGGGGACATACTGTATAATGAAAAAAATGATTACCTTTATTAATCAATTAATAAATAAATTTATGTCAATATGGAAAAGTAGTTCAAATGACCTAACATTTTAAATTCCTCAAGTTTTTGAAAAAGGCCACTATAACGTCGTTTTTTTTTATTCGTACGGTAGGTATTAAGGGTATTATTCAATAATGTATTACTTACGCGAATAATAAGCGTTATTAAGAGACAAAACTCGAATAATTACTCTTATATCATTCCGCACGCTTCCTACACAAATTTTAACTATAAAAAATCACTCGTAATACGTCAAATCATAATGATATGGCCCATAAAACGACAACAATGGTCGAAAAAAAGCAAGATAACGAGCAAAATCCGAGTATGCAACTTGATTTTAAACAATAAAATATCCTGCGTCGGCGAATTTCGCCAATTAAATACTGAGGGCACTAAAAAAAGCAGCCTTTCTTTGGTCAGTCGGTCTTTATCTATTCTTTTCGGCGAATTACACAGTTTCAAAGAAGCTTGGTTGTGTGGGTACGCTAATAAAATCATCGAAAACGGCTAATTTATTATGAAACGCGTTAAAATATGGGATACGTTGGGTTACGTAACGCCTGTCATACACGCGCTCTATTTGCGCAACTTTAGCAGGCCAAAAAACGTATTTTTCAAGAAATTTTCAAAGAAAGGTCGTGTTTTCCCCAACTAAGTTTATTATATCATATCATCGAAAAAAAACGGCGTCATAGATGGCTTGGAAATGAATATCGCTATCGAATTGTCTTTACAAAAACTTTTTTATTATTGACATTTTGAGAAAAAACATTCTTCATAAAAATTTTTGTTTGTTCTAAAATGGTTAATCCCGTTTATACTTTTTCAAATTTTCATATCGTTTTAGAGAAAATTAAGAAAAATATGAAAATATAGTTGAATTTCTTGAAATGTCCTAAAAATCAAAAGGCGTTTTTGTGGTAATATCAATTCGATTTCGTTCATTGATAGATGCGTGATAGATGGTTATTATTATTTTTTATTAACGTCATATTCATTGCTGTTGTTAAAGTATTACATTTTCCGATAATTATCATCGCCCTTTCCGTAGCATTGAACTAAATAAATTTTGTGCTTTTACATTTTAAAACAACAAAAAATATGACGTTAATTAATATTCTATCAATAACAATCTTTCAAAGAACGAAAACGAAGTTATATTACACCATAGAAACGCGTTTTGATTTTTAGGGCTTAGAAAAAATTCAATTATTATATTTTCATGTTTTTTTTTTAATTTTCTCTAAAACAGTAGGGAGATTTGGAAAAGTATAAACGGGATTAACCATTTTAGAACAAGCAAATTTTTTTTTCAAAATGTCAATAATAATAAAAAATTTCCTCTTGTAAAGACAATCCGGAGACATACTGTATGTAAAATTATATGGAGAATGCCATCGATCGTCATTTTCAAGCCTACTTGACACGGTTTTTTGTATCATACGGTATTATACACACAAAGAGTAATATTATATACATAAAGAATCATATTTATTTCATCTGTCCAACGAGTTAGGAACATTTCGACAGACGACATCAAAAAATGACAGTAAATACAATTTATCTGTGAATTAAAATGACAGACAACTGTCACTATCGTTTATGATTGTCATGTATTCTCTCTTTATACAGATTTAGACACAAATGTCAGTAATATCTATTTTTAGATTAAATTTTCTAGAGATTTTGTAGCATTAGAAGTTATAAAAAAAGATGGAATGTTTTTTTATAAGAATTTTCTTTTGGAAAAATATTAAAACAACTAACACTATGCGACGGAGCTGTTCGCCGGTGAGCAATGGGTCGTAAGCTGGTGAAAATTGAAAATTAAACTGTGATATTTACGTCTTTATAAGATACTGGGCGCCACTCAGTTTTCCATTTACTTTCGAAAACTTCTAAGTTGAAAACTGAGAAATCAACTCAGAATATAGGTATTATTTAATTTAGGAATTACACAAATGAAACGCTGAGGTAAACTAATAACTAAGTATAATTAATAATTAAATGTTAAATAGAATAAAATAAGACTATGAAAAATATGATGTTTGAAAATATTTGTTGGTAAATTGTATGTATCAAAATAGATCACTCAAAATGGTAGTTAAATCTGCACGCTTCTGAATATTAATATTTTACTAATTATTCCGCATAAAGTCTGGCCATCTTGGTACCAAAATGTAGGGTCTTTTTATATTAAAAAAAAAACGTATTATGTGAATGTCAGAAATATGCATAACATGTGTAAAATATATCAAAGTGAACTCTAAAGCAATGAAATATATAATATGCCTGAAGGGCTTAATGAATTAAAAGGAATTTAAATTATATAGATATAAAATTAAATGATCTGGCCTTTTTATCCCTTCTGGTCACAAGCTGGTTGTGGCGAACTGCTAATGGAATTGGATTGTGGTATAAGATGTTTCTGAACAAACAGGATTGAAAACTTGGATGGATTCAGGAAATTCATCTGTTATTCCCGGTGTGAAATGTAGAAACAAACGTGGACCAAATGTCAGGTGCAAAGAAGACAAAATTGCACTAGAAAATAATTAATAATATTTCTTTCTACAGTTCATCATTTTTACAATTATTAAAGCAGATTTATTCACCGATTTCGACTACTGACAAAACAGCACTTTTATCACTTAAAAAAATAATTAAAATCATTGGTAGGTTTACGGAAAAATCTGTTATATTTAACGCGAACCCCAATAACCAGACTATCTATTTCATAAAATTTCACTACCATGCCACCAATAAAGAAAATTTAATCAACAATTTAAACTCAGCTTTTCTAAACTTTTCGACCACTGGCATATTCACCCTATTTATTTCTTTTTCCAATTCACTGGCATTATTAACTTAGCCAATTTGTTGCATTAGTGCCTGTAACGTTCCTAGGAGCTACAATTAAATGAGGTTTATATACCTATATAAATATATTTTACGTTGTTTTACAGTCTTCCAGTAATGAGTTCCAATTAACAATAACTACTTAAAAGTAATGTAGAACTTTCTATTAGCGATGATAGTGATATCAGGTAAAAAAATACCCCGAGCATTTAAAAAAAAAGATAACTTTAATAGCCAACTAACGAAATGTCGATAAACTGAACGAATGGCTAAATAATAATAAAACAATAAGTATATTTGAAGGTTTTAAGCAAATAACAGTATATACAGGTAAGTAAAGTTTTGATAGTAGGTAATAATTTGTAAGTAGGTAAAGAGAATATTGAGAGTATTTCAAGAACCATTTTACGTAGAATTTAATGGTTTAAGTATATTTTTTTAATTAATAATTTAAAAATTATCAATAGAAAATTTGATTTTTTATATATAACACCCTGTGTATGACCTGTATATTTTTAATTTATTGAAAAGAATCTAAAATTATCTTTCTATCTAAAAAATATAGCATGCTTGATATTTTGCTCGATTCCTCTTCGAGATATAAAGTTTTTAAAAATTCGCCCACTTTGAATAAGTAGG